TGCCTTTCACTTCAGTGTGAGCCCACATCAAGGTATTGGCTCCACGACCTCAGGTGTTCCCATTTCCACCCAACCAGAACACACCAACTAACCTACCCAGGGGCCACCCACACATAGCAGAACGGGGGCAGCCGCTGCTCTGACCCCTGTAACATGCTGCCAGGGCCTGGCTTCTGGTTGTTCAAGGACCAAGTCAGTTGTGCATGTATAGTAGCAGCACACATGATGGTCCCGTGGGACCCCACTGACAGCCTTTCTCAGAGCAGGCCCACAGCTGAGCATGCTGGGGTTGGTCTCCTTCCTTCAGCACAGAGTCTGTGAGAACCACCACGTGGCCGCACAGGCATTGGTCTCTGTGCTGGGACAGAGTTGTGCTGCTTAGCGCCTTGAGGGATTCCCTTACTCTTGGGGCTTGTTGGGGCTTTTTCCAGGATGGGGATACAATGAGGAAGGCTGCTGTGGATGTCTATGGCAGCACAGGATGTGCATGGCCTTAGGAGACCTCTCAAACAGGGCACCAAGTGGCACTCTCAGCAGTGCAGGCAGCTCCCGTCTCCAACCTCCCACAACCTCCAGGGTCTTGAACTGTGTACGTCCCACTCCAACTGAATCATATGCCCTCTCATAGCACTAGTTTCCATCCCTGTCCATTTCGGCATGTAAATATGCTGAAGAGAGTCCACCCGGTGGATGTGGTGTTCACAGACTCACTGGTCTCCACGGCTACCATTTGTGGAGAACTCAGCCACAGACAACTGCAGACCTCAGCAGATGCTGCCCCAGTCAGACAGAAGGCTGTGCTCCCACAGCACTTTCAGAAGGGGAAGACAAAGGCAGATAAAGCATGGACACCAGGACACACTCTCCATGAGATCAGTCAGGGCGCCATGCTGGAGGAGGGGACTGAGCAGGAGGACACACTCTCCGTAAGATCAGTCAGGACGCCATGCAAGTAAAAAGACAAATATGCTAAGCAAAATTAGCCAATCATGAAGAACCAAAGGCCAAGGAGGAGAGGACTGAGCAGGAGGTCCCACACTCTGTGAGATTGGTCAGGGCACCATGCTGGAGGAGGGGACTGAGCAGGAGGACACACTCTCCGTAAGATCAGTCAGGACGCCATGCTAGAGGAGGGGACAAACAGGAGGTCCCACCCTCCAAGAGATTGATCAGGGCGCCATGCTGGAGGAGGGGACTGAGCAGAAGGACACACTCTCTGTGAGATCAGTCAGGATGCCATGCTGGAGGAGAGGACCAAGCAGGAGGACACACTCTCCGTGAGATCAGTCAGGATGCGATGCTGGAGGAGGGGACCAAGCAGGAGGTCCCACACTCCATGATATTGGTCAGGACGCCATGCTGGAGGAGGGGACCAAGCAGGAGGACACACTCTCTGTGAGATCAGTCAGGACGCAATGCTGGAGGAGGGGACCAAGCAGGAGGTCCCACACTCCATGATATTGGTCAGGATACCATGCTAGAGGAGGGGACTGAGCAGGAGGACACACTCTCCATGACATCAGTCAGGATGCCATGCTGGAAGAGGAGACTGAGCAGGAGGTCCCACACTCTGTGACATCAGTGAGTGCCCTAAATTGGAGGAGGAGACTGGTGATGCAGATGCAGAGCCAGGGAACACCATGGTCAGAGTGATATTTGGGAACCCTCAGCCCTGGTGAGGGCCAAGGATCATCCTGCAGCAACAGACATGGCATGAGCAGGACGGTGGACATGTGCGCCTAGCAGTGTGCTTCAGAGCAGTCCAAGGAGTCTGGGTGTGAGAAGGCAAAGTCCTGAGGGAGGTATTCTCAGAGGTGTGCCCACACTAGGCCCCTGTTTGTCTTTGCTTCTATGACAGAACAGTGAAAACCCATGCAAAGGGCCAGGTGCAGTGCAGCTCTAAGAAAGAAGGGAGCCAAAGATGCAGGGACTTCTCACACAAATAGAATAAATCTTGAGATTGAGGAGCCAAGCCCCCAAGGAAAAGAGCAGTAGAGAATGAAGCCCACTTTTGAGTCATTTCCAATCCAGACTTTGAGGAGTTTGAAGCTGCTTGGGGGCAGGAGGCTACAGAGCTGTCATGGTTCGTTTTGTATTGCTAAAATATATGGCTGAGGCCAGATGTTAGAAAAGAAAAGATTATGTAGCTAAGACCTGCAAGTCTGAGGCTATGGTGTGGCACTTCTGTAGCTCTAAGGAGGCCTCATGGCATCCCAATAGCAAGAGTACGTGAGGTGTCATTGAGGCACCAGGATTCTTAAAACAACCCTTTCTCACAAGAACCAATGCATCTCAAACATCTTGCCCAACACCTGCAGGTAAGTAATGATCTGGTCACAAAACTGAAAGCCATGACCTGACCTCCTCCACGAGACAGTGTTCATTCGTTCATGAGGGTGGAGCCATCTCATAACAGACCCACCACCTCAAAACACCAGTGCACTAGGTACCAAGCCCACACACAGACATCCTAGATACAACACATCTGAACTACAGCAGAAGAGAAGCAGAAAGCCTCTGACAGTTAGTGTGAACATTTCAGCATCTTGCTTTCCTAAAGAAACAATGGTTACAGCTGCTGGTAACCTAGGAAAGGGCTATAACAGTATCCTAATCTTTGGAGAAATCCATCAAGGACTATGCCCAGGATCAGGACAAACCAGAGCTAAAAGACCCTGATCAAACTGCAACTCAGCCTTGAGTCAGAGGATTCTGGAATGTGCCCAAATGGGTCAGTGATCCTCCACCTGCCTAGAAGAGCAAAGAGGAATCCTCTCTCTGAAGCAAGACAAAGTCATCCATATTCAACATCTTTTCTCATATAATGCCAGTTAATTAAAAATTATTTGACATGCCAGGAACTGGCATAAATATTATCAAACCTCTCCCCCCACACACACACACACAAAAATGCCATGCTAGAGGGAAGGTGATCTCAGTTATTACAGCTATTGGATAGGCATATAACCATGCTTAGTAGTACTGAAAAAATAAAGATAAGAAAATGAATCAAATCTGGCAACTTACTGGAGATAGAGTTCACTGGTAGAATGTGGGCTTAACGTGTACAAAACCCAGGAATTATAGGGTGACTTCCACTACAAAATCTCAAACCTTAGAATCCATAAAAAATTGATGAAGTGGAACTTATGAAGCATAAAATGCAATAACTCAAGTAAACTCACTTTTGGTGGGACTGACAAACAATTAGATATAACAGGACATGATATTAGTAAATTGAAAAACAGGTCAAAAGAAAATATCCAGGTTAAAGCAAAGAAAGAAGAAAGGATTATGAGGCAAAGAGAGGATATACATGTAAAAAACATGCAAATGTCTAACAGAGCCAAATAGGAGTCCTGAAAGGGGACACACATGGAACAGGACAGCAAAGGTCAAGTACACCCACAGCTGATCAAAGATATAAGCCCACAGATTCAAGATGCTCAGCAACCCCCACTGGGATGAATACAAAGAAAACCATATAAGTTTCATCAAGGTCATGCTGCAGAAAATCAAAATTGAAATGAAAAAGTCAAAAGTAACAGAAGGAAAAAAAATACCTGACTCTCAAAGGAACCATAATAAACCTAATGTGAAAATATTTCAAAGTACAATATGGAAGCCATGACTTGCCCTCCTCCAGGAGATAGTGTTCATCCATTCATGAGGGTGGAGCCACCTCATAACAGACCCACCACCTCAAAACAATGGAATGGCCTCTTTAAATAGGAAAAAAGTAAATAGTAAGCTCAATTCATAGTAGCTAAACTATGGAATCAACCTAGGTTGCCCTTCAACATATAAATGGATAAAAAAACTATGGTATATATACAAAATGGAATAGTACTCAGCCTTAAAGAAGAATGAAATGATGTCATTTGTGAGTAAATGGATGAAACTAGAGACAAATATGCTAAGCAAAATTAGCCAATCACAAAGAACCAAAGGCCAAATGTCTTCCCTGATATGCAGATGCTAGTTCACAATAAGGTTGGGAGGGGTGAGATAATTTGGACTAGACAGAAGGGAATGAAGGGAGAGCAGGTGGTATGCAGGTAGAAATGACAATAGAATACCCTTTGTTCATACATGATTACATACAACCAAAAGAATGAGAAGTTTTACTCCATTTAAGTATGATGTGTCAAAATGCATTCTACTGTCACGTATACCTAATTAGAACAAAATTTAAAAATTAAAAAGTCTTCAAAATAAAAAAATATATATAAGTGTCTCTTTCAAAAAAAAAACTGAACTACAATTTGATACCCAGAGAAAAGATCCCTCAGCATGAAAGAGATCTTGTTTTCATACAAGCAAAAGGTGGGGACTCTATATCACAGCAGTCCTGCTACATAAATAGGGAAGCTGGAGTTCTTCAAGCACACACACACCCTTGATGGTGCAAATCCTTACTAGACAAATCTTAGCCAGTTATAGAGCTTACCTGAGCCTTATCTTAAAATAGGTATAATCATAATCCTTCCACATAGACTTGTTGTAAAGTGTAAGCAAGTAAAAAGACAAAACAACAAATTCCAGGTCTTCAGGGTGAATTTCCAGTGGCAGGCCATGGTGGTAGGGAAGCCTTGTGAGAAAAGGGGCCAGCAGTAGCACACACCCTAACTTCCTGACACTTATCTCAAGCAACACAAGGAAAAGCCTCAAGAAACCCACCTG